GATAAAGACCAATACAGTATACTAACGCATATATATGGAATTTAAAAAGATGGTAACGATAACCCTATATGCAAAATAGAAAAAGAGACACAGATGTACGGAACAGACTTTTAGACTCTGTGGGAGAAGGCAAGGGTGGGATGTTCAGAGAGAACAGCATTGAAACAAGTATACTATCAAGGGTGAAACAGATCACCAGCCCAGGTTGGATGCATGAGACAAGTGCTCAGGGCTGGTGCACTGGGAAGACCCAGAGGGATGGGATGGAAAGGGAGGTGGGAGGGGGATCGGGATGGGGAACACATGTAAATCCATGGCTGATTCATGTCAATGTATGGCAAAAACCACTACAATATTGTAAAGTAATTAGCCTCAAACTAATAAAAAATAAATGGAAAAATAAAGAAAAAAAGAATAAAGATTGAGCAATGACTTTTTTTTTTTTTTGCTGCACTGTGAGGCACGTAGGATCCTTGTTTCCCAACCAGGGATCAAACCCTCACCTCTTGCAATGAAAGCATGGAATCTTTACCACTGACTGCTTGGGAAGTCCTGAGCAATGACTTTTTAAATACATCACCAAGTCATGGTCAATCAGAGAAAGAATCGATGAGTTGGGCCTCACTGAAATTTAAAACCTCTGCTCTGTCAAAGGGACTGTCAATAGGATGAGACAGGCAGAAAGTAGGAAAAGGAGATGACTTCTCACTCAGGCTTCAGGTCTGACCTGAGGGGCTGGGAGACACCACTCATCAGAGTCACCCCGGGGCCCAGGCTGATGAGGCTCTGTCCTGGTGATGGTGGGCTGCTCTGGGCAGAGGGAGAAGGGAACTGCAATCTTGTTCTTGAAGCTGCTTCCTGAAGGTGGTGTCCTCACTTCTGTTCATGTTTCATTGACCAGAGCCAGTCTCCTGCCACCCTGACATTAAAGCAAGTGAGGCGTCCATTCCACCTCGCCTGGTGCTGGGAGTAAGCCGGAGCCCCTGTGATGGCCACACACCACAGTCTGCAAGTCCACGTGGAACACTGCCTCATGCACACTCGTGCACTCACACACACACAGACAACACACACACACAACTCCTTGGCACACCCAACTTGTTTGATCGGTTGATCAGCTGATCCTCAGGTGTTGCGAGAAAGGACCCTCAGTTTGAGGAGGGAATCATTTCCTTAGCAGTTGATCAAACATTTACTGAGAAATGGCTCTGCTTGCAGAGCCAGATTGAGGCCCTGGCGGCCAAGCTTGTGTCTATGGACATCCTCCTGGCTCTAGCAAATGCTGGGAAGTGGTCAGCATCAGTCTTTGTGACCAGATCCACACAGTGTACTGACATAGTTAAATTCACCGGTTTTTAGTGTATGCGTCTATCTTGTGTGCTGTGTTTAGTTGCTCAGTTGTGTCTGACTCTGCAACCCCATGGACTGTAGCCCACCAGGCTCCTCTGACCATGGGGGTTCTCCAGCCAAGAATACTGGAGTGGGTTGCCATGCCCTCCTTTAGGGGATCTTCCCAACCCAGGGATTGAACCTGGGTCTCCTGCATTAGAGATTGGCCTTCCCCCATGCCCAGGCCCTGTCTCGTTCTCTGTCCCTGACATCTCCATGCTCCAAGAACATCATGTAAATAGAATCACACAGTCTCCAGCCTCGAGATCTGGCTCCTTCCACCCGGCATAGTGCATTCCAGGCTCATGGACAGCTCTGTCTGCACCGCAGTTCATTCCTTTTTATTGCTGAATAATATTTCATTGTATGGATGTGTCACGTTTGGCATATCCATTCACCAGTTGACGAACATTTGGGTTGTTTTCAGTTTGGGGCAATTATGAATAAAACTGCCACGAGCATATGTGCGGACATATGTTTTCATTTCTCTTGGGTAAACACCTAGGAGTGGAAAGGCTGGATCGTATGGGGAGTATATATTTAACTGTATAAGGAGCTGCCAGACTGTTCTCCAGAGTGACTGCACATTTCACGTTCCCACAGCCACGTGCGAGCGCCCCCGCCATCCAAGCCCTGGATCCTCACCGGAACTTGGTGTTACCCGTCTTCCCTCGTGGCCGTGTTGGAACCTGTGGTAGGCATGGTTCCCAATGAACCTCTTCTTTGGGAAGCCATCTACTCGGACCTTTGCTCATCTCGGCTGGGTTATTTGTCTTCTCACCGAGTTGGGAGGGTTCTGACTTCGTCTAGGAGAGCAGGGCGTGCAGAGGGGTCAGAGCAGAGTCACTCTGGGCAGGAGGGGAGGAGAGCTGTCTGCAACCAACACCTTTTGTCACTCACCTCTTACCCAGCCCCCTTGCCGTTGTCTTTCACATCAGTCCCCAGGCTCACTGGGCCTTTCCAATGTGAAGAGCTGTCCAGGCTTCTTTAGCCTTGGCTAAACCCCTTCTCTCGGCCCAGCATCCAAGCCCCAGCCTGCCCAGTCCTGGGGACAGCCCTGGTCGCTCTCCCCGCTCCCATCACCACCTGTGACCTGACAGCCCCTCGGGCTGGAGCCCATGATGCTCCAGCACAGCAGCCCCGCCGCAGGGCTTTTGCACTTGCTGTTCCCTCTGCTTACCTGTCCCTCCTTCCTCGGGCCACTGCTGGCAGCCCTGCCCCCACCACCCCCATCATGCTGGGCCCTCATTAGCTGACTTGGTCTGTCCACCTCTCGTTGGACTGAAGACGCCCAGGAGAGGACCTGGGATCGCTGAGTCCCCAGGACCTGATGCAGAGTCAGCCCTCAATACACACGTGCTGAATGAATATGTGAAATAGTGGGTGAGATTGCCTTTCACAATGTGCTATGTCCACAGAGGAAACTGTGGTTCAGAAGGGGAGGGGTGACCACGACAGCCGCAATCAGACACCTGGGCGGCTGCCTGTCCACACCGCCTCTGGTCAGGGACCCAGAGACACATGATGCACACCTGCTGCCCACATGTAACGACGGGTACACACTCACAGCCTCACGCAGATGTTCCGTTCACCCACCCGTACACATGGGCACACAAATCACGCATGCCTGCCTCCCAAGCACAGGCCCGGATGACTGACAGCCCAGGACTTCACAGGCTTCCGTCACCATGACAACGGACAGCGCCAGCTTGGGTGTGAACAGCAGCCAGGAAGGACTTGAGTAGTGCATGTCAGGGCTGTGGCAATGGTCCCAGGCTCCCCACAGACCCCTGGTGCCAGCCCTTCCTGGGGACAAGGTGGCGTCTCAGATGTGTGGAAACTGCACTTGTTCATCTACTTCCGGGGCAAGACGCCCACCCCCCAGGGTCTGTGCCAGGTACAGCGTGGACCCAGCACTTCACACGTGTGCTCTCCCTGACTCCCCACCGTCCTCCAGATGAGCACTGCTAGGGAGCCCATGCCACAGGTGATGAGCTGAGGCTCAGAGAGGGAAAGTCTCCGGCTCAGGGTCACACAGCAGCTAGCCAGCAGAGCTGAAAGCTGGACCACTGCCCTGGGCACCATCTCAGTCAGCACAAATTCTCCAGCAGTAAGCAGCTGGCCACCCTCTGCAAGGTAGTGAGACCCCCATTATGAGTGGTGTTCAAACAGAAGTTGTCAGAGCTGCTATGGAAAAGGATCAGGCACTGGGGGCAAGGGCCTCTCATTAGTCTTTGAGTTGCGAGATGACAAGTTATTTGGTGAGCATAACTGGAAAGAAACCAGCTTCAGGAATAGCTGGATCCAGCTCTCCAACTTCAAGGAGGCTTCTGGATTTCCCTCTCTGCTGTTTACTTTATTCTCAGACCAGCTTTCCCTGATCTGGGTGGTCCTAAAGCACGGACAGGGTAGGGGTTTGAGCCCCAGAGAGTCCCAGCCAGGCTTCTGGGAGAGAAGCCCAGGTACCCGTGCCCACTTGGACATAGCACAAAGCCTGTTTCTCTGTGTGGGAAGGACAGCGACTCTGAAATGTCAGGTGGTGGACTGGTGTTGACTGTGCCCCAGGCTCTGTCCCGAGCACTTCACACATATAAACCTATGGAAATCTCACAGCAGGCTTGGAAGGCTGTCACAGTCTCCATCACCTGGAAGGGAATCTGAGCCAATGAGAAGTGAGGTGCCGAGCCTGAGGCAAGGCTGGAGCCTCAGGGCCACTCAACCAGCCAGAGTCCGGTGTCCACCTCCCACAGGGGCAGGATCACTGTCCCAAAGCCCACATCCCTCCAGGGGTGCCCAGGGCCACTCTGCCAGGCTGCCCTGGGGATACTTCGGATGGAGTCTTGGGGAGCTGAAGGTCCCAGTGGCTGGGAGCTGTGTCTGGTCTCAACTTTCCCATCTGTAGAATGGGCAGGTCACTCCATTCATGAGTGTGGCTCTCGTGTTGTGCTGGATAGCAGTAGTGTAAACCTGAGCTGTGGCTGTTGTGACTGGGAACCACAGAAAACATTTTTTATCTCCTTTAATTAGTGGCTGCTGACACCGCTCTCAGCAGCAGCTTCCAGGGCTCCAGACTTCAGACTCAGGTTCTCCTCCTAGTTCTGTCTGCACTTTGTCCACCCCTCCCCCACCCCCCCAGGCAGGCCGCTGGGCATCCTTCCCCAGGCAGTTTTGCTGGTGTCTCTGCCAGCCAGGAAGAGGTGGTCACCAGTGCTGGCCCTCAGCCCCACCAGGCAAGGTGGCCGCACTCAGAGTGGCCTCGACACCTCCTCCATGGAGGGGACACCTGCTGAGATCCAGTTTCCTGCCAGGCAGTTGGAGGCGGGCTCAGCACAAGACTGAAGTTGGTTTAAGGACAGGAAGGAAGCAGGCCATTTCTGGCACACCTGGGTTTCCCTCAAGGTCTGTACCAGGTGCATACACCTGCTCTGCACGGGAGTGCTACACACCTGTGCCCCACACCCCAGCATGTGCACACACACGCACACACCTGGATGGACTCGGCCCTGCACTGGGGGCTTCCCCCTCCTCCAGAGCCCCCAGCAAGCTTCGGGGTGTCGAGGTCCTGTGGCCTCTGGTCCAAGGCCAGGGGGCAGCCAGCTGCCTCCTCCAGGATGACCTCAGTGGAGCGCAAGAAGCTGCAGACACAGGCAGACAGTCCCGGAGATGGCACAGGTGGACAGCTCCACAGTCCATCACATGACGAGACCCTGGTCCCTCCCCTCCCACCACAGCCGGAGAAGTGAGGCAGGCCATCCAGGTGTGGGGGCTCCAACGGGTGGGAGGGGAGACTGGGTCCCAGCAGGTGGCTCTCCACCCAGCCCGCCCTGCTGGCTTGGTCACCTCCCCACCCAAGTATCCAGGCTGTGCCTCCGCCCTGCATGCTCCCAGCAGCTGGGCCTCCAGTCTCCACCGGAAGAACTTATCACCGTTGACTTTCCAGACAGAAATCGATAGAAAACGTTTTATCTCCTTCCCCAGGGGCAGGCCGGCCTGAGAGCAGAGCCAGCTCCCGTTACTATGGCGACCCTCCTGGCCCCCCCCCCCCACTTCCCACTCCCTTCCCCCCTCCCCGCCCCCTCTTCCACTTCCTCCCCTGGTGCCCCTGGTCCCCTGTTCCCTTCCCACAGAGCTGGCCCTGCTGCCTGGTGGCTGCAGAATTGTCATTCTGTGGGCCTGAGAGGGATGGCCTGAGGGCCCTCGGGTCCAGTCACCCTTGACCTTGGGGCCCTCTGCTTCCACACCAAAGTGCAGCTCTTGAGGCCAGCTTGGCCCCATCCCCGTGCCAGGCACTGGCCTCCGTGTCTGTGACACTTCTCTGATCACTAAGCTTAGTTTTCCCTCTGCATGATCAGACGGGGGACAGTGTGTCCCTACAGGGTACTGTGGGCACCCCAGAGCCTGGACCTGTAAAGCAGGGAGCACAGACGTGGTCAAGAAACACCAACCATGGCAGACAGGCCTCAATCTGCACACCCATAGAACGGGTACATGAGAGATCATATAGTTGTGAGGTCTAAGTGGGAGATGGGGGAAACCATCCGGCCCTCTGCCCGACATGTTCTAAACAGTGCATCCTCTGGAAGGACCATCGTCCAGGCCCTGCTGACCACCAGGTGTGGGGCGGGAGGAGGTGGGAGGAACAGATGTGCCCTGCCCTCCGTGAAGGCTCCCGGGTTGCCGCCTCCTTGTGGCCTGTGCTGGAGAGTGATGCCCCACCAGGTCCATGTAACTGGTGCCCTCCTTCCACCCACCGGGCCGCGTAGGTTTTCTTCCTACCTGCAGGCTGGGGGCTTACTCCCTGCTTCCTCCTGGACTGCCCAGCCCCGTGCGGTCAGCCATGCCCCAAACCTTCAGGACGGGAGGCAATACATACAGACCAGAACCTGTGCGTGTGACGGCAGAGGGCAGAAGGGACCCTGCACGTGTGACCAAGGGAAGGTCCTCAGATGCGGGAGGGTCCTTCCTTAGCTGGGTGTGCCTTGAATGTCATCACAAGTGTCTTTTCAGAAAGAAACTGGGGAAAACGAACATAGGCAGGAGGAGGGATGATGATGGAGGCAGGGAGGTGGGGGTGGGGGCGTGGGCCGAGGGAGGCAGGCAGTCCCAGAACCTGATGGGAGACACGGCCGTCCCCCGGAGCTTCGGAAGCTGGCACCCTGACGTCAGCCCGGCAGTGCTGAGCTGGACTGCTGAGCTCCAGGACCGTGGGCGTCAATGTACGCAGTCCTAGGGCGGCAGGCCAGTGGCCATGGGTCACGCCAGCCGCGAGAGAGGCACACAGTCGCCCGGTGCCCCTGCATTTGCGTGAACCGACACACTCCTCCACCCTCCCTGCGCTCCTGAGAGGATTACATGAGTTAGTAGGTGCAAAGAGCTTAAAAAAGCAAGGAGTATTGTTTTTAAAAGGATTGTGCAAAAAATGGTCTGCCCAACCCTGAGGAGGACAGCAGTCCTGCCCTCAAGTAACTCACCACCCAGAGCCAGAGACTCGCAAAGCGTAGTGATCACCGGGAAGGTCACAGGACAACTGAGGCGGCCAGCGGGGGTCTGGGAGGGCTTCCTGGAGGAGCCTACTCTTGATCTGGAAGGGTGTGGAGGGAGCAGCCAGACAGGACAAAGAAGTAAGGGCATCTCTGGCAGAGGTAACAGCAGGGGGGACACTCGGAAAATAGGGAGACGAGGCCATGGAGGGACCTGTAAGGCATCCAGGAGGGATGCGCAGGGAAGGATGTGAACAGGTCAGCCCTTGGGTGTGGGGGGGCCTTGCAAGCCAGGGATGGACACAGCGGAAGGAAAAGGGCCACTGCAAGGAGGGTGGATGGGGTGTTGAAACAGGACACAAGTTACAGAGGCTGTGAGCCCGGGGTGAGCAGTGGGTGGAACTGACAGGATTTCATGACCACCTGGATGAGGCAGGTGAGCAGGGATGAGTTGGGGGAGCTTGGGGCAACTTGCCCAGATGACCGTCATTACCTCTAATGCCAGAGCCGAGCCCACCACGCACACACCCGGGGACGTGCCAAGGGGTGGGGGTGGGGGGCTCATCTCAGTCTCATTTCTCACAGCCCTGACACTGTGATTGTCCACACCGTGCAGTGGGGTGGGGGGGGAGACGGAGCCCAGACATGGAGCAGGGGTGCAAGGGGGCCAGGGCCTGGGGGGTGGAATAGATTTTATGTAAACTAGACAAAAAAGGGTTCGAGGACTGCTTTTGTAATAGTTTTTTATTACCAGAAAGAAAGAAGGGAGACAGGGAAGGAGGAAGAAAGAAAGAAGGACTCCCTGGTGGTCCAGGACTCCTGGAGTCCACCTTCCAGCGCAGAGAAATGGGTTTGATCCCTGGTCGGGGAACGAAGATCCCACGTGCCACGGGGCAACTAAGCCCGAGCACTGCACCTACTGAACCTGTGTACTCTATAGAGCCCAGGCTCTGCAATGAGAGACGCCCACACACCACAGCTAGAGAAGCCTGCATGCCTCAACGAAGACCCAGTGCAGCCAAAATTAAATAAATAAATAAAACCATCTTTTAAAAAAGGAGGAAGGAAGGGAGGGAGGGAGAGAAGGGGGAAGAAGGAAGGAAGAAAGGAAAAATACATGTTCTATTAGCAGCAAAGCACGAAGACCCTGATGCTGGGAAAGACTGAAGGGAAATGGAGAACAGGGCAGCAGGGGACGAGATGGTTGGATGGTATCACCAATTCAATGGACATGAATTGAGCAAACTCTGGGAGATGGTGAAGGACAATGAAGCCTGGTGTGCTGCAGTCATGGGATCTCAAAGAGTTGGATAAGATTTAGTGACTGAATAACAACAACAAACACTTTTATTTTCACCACTGTTAATAAACAAAAAATCTGCAGAGCCTGAAAGTAGGACAATTCTGACTCTCTGTTTATGAAAGACCTGTGGGCTCCATCACCCTTAGGATGGTGCACACACAGTGAGAGCTTCCAGCTGGAGGCGGCTCTGTGACCAGGAGCTCAGCTGCATTGGTGAGGTTTTATTTCTCCAGCTGACAATGGTGGATGCTGCAGCGATCACTGAACGCTTCTTGGACCTTCTTGATGATCCTAAACTTTTTACAGTTTAGCACGGGAGTCACTGATGCTCCCCAGCTGTCCACTAAAGTGGGTCTGAGGTCCCAGGCCGTACTCATCCGATGACAGGACCACAGTCCTTGCAGCCAACCTGAGTCCCTTTCACCACATGCTCCTTGTCTGCACAGCCCTGAGGAGGGGGGCTCCCTCCCTCCTGAGCCAGTGCACAGCCCTCACTGTGGGAAGGTCCTGCCTCATGAAGAGTCCTTCCACCCACTGGAAATCAGTGTGCACATGAGTACAGATGGCAGGGAAGCCCTTCAGATCTTTGAGGACATCAGGCCCTGCCTTCCTCACCCCAATTTTTCTTTCTCCAGGCAAAGCAGCCTCAGTTCTCTCAGAGACAAGTGACAGAAGAGAAACTTAGGCTGTTTATGCAGACAGGTAAACTATATTGGCTTCAGGTGTATCACAAGCTTCAGGCATAGCTGTATCCAGGTGCCCAGCTGGTGTCTCTGTGTGTGTTTTGACACCGTTCTCCTACATGTTGGCTTCATGCTCAGGCCCACAGCCAGCCAACTTCACATCCCCTGGAGGTTCTAGCGAGGCTCCTTGCTCCCTGCAAAACCGCCAGCAGGCTTGGGTCATGTGGCCATCCCTGAACCAGCCACTGTGGCCAGGGAAACAGAGCACTCTGATTGGTTAAACCCGCATCACAGGAGCATCAGTGCATCCCAGAGGCAGTGTCAGCCCCGGCTGAACCACGTGGGCAGAAAGTGGGAAGGAATGCTCCCCCCGGGAAATCAAGGTGTTATTACCACCAAGAGACAAGGTGTGTGAGTTAAGACTGAGGTTCTGTCACAGAGATCCACAGCGGCTGAGCCAAGGTGGAACTTCATCTTCCCTGATGTTCCTTAGATGTGATCATTCCTGGGCTGATGCAACTCATTCTGACAGCAGGCCCCAGCAGTTGAGTATTATCCACATTGGATGTAAAAGCTGTGAAAACACGACCACATTTGCTGCTGCTGTCCTGGCCACTTATAAACTCAGTTCCCACTCAAACATCCGCCCTGCTCAGCAGGTCTCCTCTCCTCTGCCCTCAGGATCTTTTCTGTCCGAGTCACATATGCAAGTTGATGACAAAGGAAGTCTTCACATCTTGCTGAAGCTGTAGAATGTGCTGAACTTGCTGGGAGATGATGCTGGAGAACTCAGGGATCCCACAGACAGTCGCTGACAAGCTGAGGCTCTTTCTGGCTCCACCAGGAACGTCTGAAGAATGAGAACACCCAGCATGAAGGACAACACGGTACTCCAGGGAGTGAATTGAATGTCACAGAACTCAGAGGCACGGGGTGCACAGGGCGCTTTGAGTAGTTAGTGCTTGAAGGGCCAAGGAAAGACCACTGGGCATTTCTGTGGGAAAATCATTTCTCTGCCAATGAACTTTTCCCCATTCTGAGAATTAGTACATTAATCTAAGAATTAGCAAATTAACCTAAATTTTGTTTGCTGGAAGATAAAATGTAGGTATTTTCATAGCTTCAACTTCATTTTTTTCAAAATAAAATCCCAACTGAACAGTTTTCTTCTGTTACTAAGAAATGCTCATTCCCAGTGGCAGGGGATTTGCGGTCAAGTGGTTTTTTTTCTTGGGCTCATGAGGCCCCCAGCACGGGTCCAGATTCTGGGTACCGTGAGGGTGGGGCCCACATTGGGTCATTTCTGGAGAGGAGTCTGGAGTGGGTGTGGCTCCATGCCTGCGAATTAAGTGGGGGAGTGAATGGGCGGGTGATGGGCCCAGAGAGTCCTGGGCACTGGCAGAGCCTCCCAACCCTGCAGAGCCCAGCAGAGCTGTCACCTCCTCCTCACCTCTCTGCTGGAGGAGGGAGGCCCAAGGGTCTCTCCTGCCCTGCTCGCCATCAACGCCCCCAGGCAGAGGGCTGCCTCACCCCCGCCTTCCTCGTGGGGGTGGTGGAGCCTCATGGGCCTGACTCACCGGGTGGGGAGGAGTCCCAGAGCGAAGTCTCCCAAGGCCACACCCCTTGAAGAAACGTGGGGCTCAGGAAGGCTGTGCTGTGGGTGCGGGGCAGCGCTGGGCCAGTCCCGTCTGCCTTCCACCTTGCTCCTTGGTGACTGAGGGTTTCCTGCCCTCTCCAGGCCTCTGGTTTCTCCTCTACAACACGGAGGTGAGCCTCGACCTCACAGACCCCAGTGCACAGGACCTGGCACGTAGACCCCGGCTCCGTCCTCACCGAGGGCGGCCCGCGGCACGCCCCGCACAGGTGGAGACGATGCCAGTGTAGGCACGCCGCAGCCCTGGAGCGCGTCCTCCCTGGGGAGGTGGCCGACAGCCGCTCCGCTCTGCACGCCCCGAGCCAGGTGCTGCCCCTCCCTGCTCTCGGTCTCCTGAACCATGGATGACCCGAACGGCGGAGGTGGAAATGGAGGCAGGCGGCTGACAGGCCAGTCCCTCGGGGTCTGGGCCTCTGTCCGAGGTTGATCCCCCTTCCCTGTCTCCCAGCCCTTGGGGACCTCTCTCCCCCCCGAGACAGGACTCACTGTCTGCTTCTGACCAAGGAGAAAACCCAGGGGAAATTGGAGGCCAAGGCCACAGCTGCAGAATTGAGTTTTAAGACCCCTGTGGAGAAGGGAGGGTTTCGCAAATCCAGTGCCTTGGGGGGCAGTTCGTGATTTAAATGTGGGTGTGGTGGTGGTTAGACTCCTTAAAGTTATTTCAATTCCAAATCTTTAGACACTGCTCTACCTACCAATTAAAACAAGCTGGCAGCCTGGATCCCACCTTGGAGCTGCAAGTTCAACACCTTAGTACTAACACTGTCTTTACTGTGTGTCCGTGCTGGGTCCACTCCTGTCTTACCTCCCACTTGCATCCCATGAAGGATGATGAGCAGCTTCTCAGCAGAAATCTCCCTGGGGGCTGGCTCTGCTGACTGACCCCTAATGGTGCCCACAGCAGTCTGAGCACTCCCCTGCTCAGAAGCCTCCCCTCTCTAAATTAGGCTACCCAGCCTTCTGAAGAGACCTAATGAACACTCTCCAGATCTCAGCTGACTGGTCATGTCCTCCAGGAAGCCTTCCCTGATTCCTCAGTTCATGACACTTCGTACCTGGGCTCCAGAGCACATGTTTCACAAGTGGCTTTTACGTGGCAACCCAGAACCTCACCTAGTGTCTGACCCACAGTGGGCGCTCAATTAACATCCATGGGAGAGGTGAACAAACTCACCTGCTATTGACCTTGGATGAGGGATTTACCTTCTGAGCAATTCTTTGACCTGTAAAATGAGTTATAATGAGGAAGCACTGAGAGGATGCATGGAGTGTGAGGCTGAGCACCGGCTCACAAAGATATCAGGGTCCCAATACCTGGAACCTGTGTGGCAAAAAGGTGGTGGTGGGGGAGGGTCCTTATGCGTGTATGCTAAGCCGCTTCACTTGTGTCTGACTCTTTGCGACCCCAGGGACTGTAGGCTGCCAGGCTCCTCTGTCCATGGGATTCTCCAGACAAAAATACTGGGGTAGCTTGCCACACCCTCCTCCAGGGGATCTTCCTGACCCAGGGATTGAACCCGCATCTTCTATGTCTCCTGCATTGCAGGCAGATTCTTTACCCACTGAGCCACCAGGGAAGCCCTGGAGGGTCCTTGTAGATGTGATTAAATTAAGGATGCATTAAATCCAGGATGGGAGAGTCTCCTGGATTTTCCAGACGACCTCCTGGAATCACAAGTTTGAGTAAGAGGAGACGAGAAGGTCAGGAGAGGAAGCAGGAGATGTGGCAACAGAAGCGATGACTTCCTGTGTGTTCTGGCTCCTGGAGGGCAGGCGCTGAGGCGGCGGGACAAGCAGGTGGCCTTCAGAAGCCAGAAGAGGCAAGGGAGAATAGCATTGAAACATGCATATTATCATATGTGAAATATATCGCCAGTCCAGGTTCGATGCAAAAGACAGGGTACTCAGGGCTGGTGCAGTAGGATGACCCCGAGGGATGAGATGGGGAGGGAGGTGGGAGGGGGTTCAGGATGGGGAACACATGTACACCCATGGCTGATTCATGTCAATGTATGGCAAAAACCACTACAATATTGTAAAGTAATTAGCCTCCAATTAAAATAAATAAATTAATTTAAACAAAAAAGAAGAGGCAAGGGATGTTCCGCCTGGAGCCACCAGGGCGCATCCCTTCTGACACCTTGCCTTCAGCCCGCTGATGCCGATTCTGGATATCTGCCCTCCAGAGCTGTAAAGAATAAATGAGGGTTGTCTAAGCCACTATATGTGTGGTCATTTGTCACAGCAGCCCAAAAAAACAGCCGCAGAAGGCACCTGGTGCACGACGGGTGCTCTCAGAATGGCAGTGGTTAGTGCCTGGACTTCGCCATCCCCTCCTCCCTCTGGGACACCCCTCTTCTCACCTTCCTCCGAGGTCTCTACTGCCAGGCCTTCCCTGGGTTCTCCCTGGGCAGGTGAGGGCAGGGAGGGCAGGGGCCAGGAGCCCCTGGATGTATGGAAGCCCCATCCTCGTGCCTCCCCACCCGTCCCCAGCTTGTGAAGGAAAGCACTTCTAACAGAATTCACAGCCTCCAGGCTCCAGGCATGATGCTCCACACACCTACCTCCTTTAGTCCTCAGGAATCCCAGGAAGTAGATGCTACTATTGCCCCTATTTTACAGATGAGGAAACTGACACTCAGCAAGTTAACTTGTTTTTCCATACCCTCCCAGCTGGGGGCAGAGCAACCAGACTTAGAAATCGGGTCTGTCTCCCCCAGAACCTGTGCTAAAAACCGCAGTGTCCATCGTCTGATCCTGATTCTGTCCGGCTCCTACCCTTGCCGTGGGCAGTGGGTGGCTGAGCTGGTGGGAAGGGCTCTGGGTGCAGGTCTTGCCTGTAACTTAGCTTGAAACCCTGGACAGAAGACCTCACCGCTCTGTGCCTCAGCTTCCTGTAAACAAAAGGGGTGGGTCTGCCCCCCCTTGCGGGGGGCGCTGCCAGGATCAGATGACAGGACATGCAGACATGGGGACAGTTCACAGCATAAGGGCACCCTCCCCACCATGTGTTCTTAACTACAGGTGAGGAGGCTGAGTCCCCTGGCAGCCTGAGGCCTTGATGGCCCTCCTTCACCCACAGGACCAACAGACCCCAGAGGCTGGATTGGGGCTGGAGATCTGCCTGGCCTGGGTGAGTGGAGGCCTGGGGTGGGGACTGCCAGGGGGTCTGTAGGGTCACAATAGGTTCACTCACTCATTCATTCAACATCCCTCTGCCCTGGCTCTGCCAATGGTATTAGGATTGCATCCGAATTCCCCACTAGGCTCAGGTAGCCCTGAAGACACTGGTCCTCCGCAAGGCTCTGACTTCTGCTGCCCACCTCCTGTCCTCCTCCCCGCCTCCCACGCCTCCTGCCTCAGGGCTTTTGCACTTGCTGCTTCTGCTCCACATGCCTGGCTCCTTCCGCTCACAGCCCCCTAAGCAGCTCCTGCCTCTCACTTCACCGAGTGAGTAGCCCTCACTGCTCCCGGTAACGGTCTTTCTCACGTGTGTTCTGTCTCTGCCCACCAGGCCGCCAGCCTCAGGACGGCAGGGATCACTTGTCTGCTGACTCTGAGCTCACCGAGGTGCCAGTGAGTGAAGAGAGCTCTGCTCGGCGGCCTTCTAGCTTAGAGGTCGGAACGTTTCCCAGACAGGGAAGAGGAGGTCACAGGGGGGCCGTGGTGGGTGAAGGCGGGGGCCTGGCCCCAGGACCCGGCTGGAGCTCGGAGCACCCGAACGCCGGTGCCAGTCCACGTCTTCCGCCCGAGGTTCCGGCCCGGGCCCCTGCGTCCTTGAGGGCCCCTGGGGTCTCCCCAGCCAAACCCCCGCCCCAGGCCCGCAGCGGGCGCGGGCCGCCAGGGGGCGCTGTCGGGGCGCACGGCCCACCTGGCGCCCGGGCGGCGAGCGAGCGCGGCCAGGCGGCCGGGAACTTTTCTCCTCGCGCTCTCGCCGCCTTCTCCCCCCGCGCGCCGCCCGCCGCCCGCTCTTCCTGCGCGGAGGGGACCGCATTTCCCCGCGGCCCTGCGACGCCAGCAGGCCCGGAGGTGCGCGGCCAGGGCCTGGTCCCTGCGCCCCGGGCGCCGCCCCCGCCCGCGGCTGCGCTCGGAAGCCGAGGCGCGGAGCGAGGCGCGGCCGGGCGAGAGCGCGCCGAGCAGGCCGCCCAGTCCGCCGCCCGAGCGCCGGCGCGAGGAGGGGGCGCCGCGGCCCACCCTCCTTCCTGCCTGGCCGCGGGCCGGCCGGGCCGCCGCGCCCCGACCCCTATGGCCGCCCGGGCCTCCGGGCCGCGAAGTCGCAGCGCCAGACCCCGGCCCCCCGAGTGAGCGCGCGCCGAGGTGAGCACCGGGCGCCGGGGCGGGGGCGCGGGGGCCGCGGGGAAGTCGCTTTGTGTGCGGGGGGCGCGAGGTCACCGGATGGCAGTCTGAGGAGCTGCGGCGGGGTGGGGGCGCCCCGCGCCGCGGGACAAGGGCCGGGGCCGGTGCGAGGCGGCGGCGCGAGGACCGAGGGTCGCGCGTGCAAGGGCTGTGCGCGTGCTTGTCGCCGGGGATCCCCCCCCGAGCGCGGGGTGGGGACCGGGGCATTCGCGCAGCGCCGGGGCCGGAGGCGAGCTTTGTGAGTGCGTCCGGGTGGGGGGCGGGGAGCCGACTTCTCCGGGGGACTCTGGGCCTATCGGGGCCCTGGCGTGGGAGCCGGACAGCGAGGTCCGTGATGGGGAGGGGCGGCGCGTGAGGCTCTCGGCAGGCCCCCCATCCGTGCTCCGACGCGGGCAGGGGCGCCCGGGCCTGTGCGCAGGCCGCGCGACCGGGCAGGAAGCGGCCCGGGAGGCCGGGGAGCTCCGTCGCGGCCAGGCCCGGGGCGCAGGGGCCTTTCGGGGTGACGTCACGGTGGGGGCTCCGGCCACGCGAGTCCCCGGACGGACGGCGGCGCACCACCGGCCAGGTCCTTGGGCCGGCGCCTGGGAGACCGGAGACCCGGAGGAGGACGCGAGGGCTGGGCGCAAGGCGGCGTCGCCAAGCGCGGCGGGGGCGAGGGGGTGGCAGGACGCGGGGGTGACTTTGGAGCCTTGGTTGCTGGGGGCCGCCCAGGAGGGACGGAGGGGAAGCGAAACACCACGCAGGCCCGAGGCCGTGGCGGCCCCAGCTTCCTGGGGCGCCCTTTTTCCCAGCGAGCGATTTCCCCTCCTGGGCTCTGGGTCGTCCTCAAATCCACACCCGGGGCCGGAGCGCGGCCCGAGTCGTGCCCTGGTCCGGGAAGCCCCCGACGGGGGCGGCGCTGGGGCTCTGGCCCTGAATGAAGACGCTATCCGGAGTAACAATGCTCTTCTGGGGGGCTGGGGGAGGGGAGGCAGCACGCCTGAATGGCGACCCGGGCCTGGGCTTCCCAGGGTTTCCGCAGGCTCTGATCCGGGACCCACGCGGGACCCGCACGGTTCCCTCCACCCGCTCCCCACCCGCCCCCCCCCCCCCCATTTGTCTTGCAACGCAGTGGCGTGTGGAGGATTCAAGGGCATTACATCTGGTTGCAATCCAGTTTCATGCCGCTGCTGGGCTGTTAAGACCTCGAGCTGACGTCAAAGCAGGGGAATTACTTCTTTTTATTTTATCTTTTTTTAGTTGTCTGCTGCCCTGGGAAGGGAGGCGGGGTGAGTTAGGCGAGCTCTGATGTGGAGGCGCCAGCGCCCTGGGAGCCTCGGGCTGGGGGCCCTGCTTCTCTGCCCGCACCAGATCCTCCATGCAAACCGACTCTGCCTGGGGTCAGACCCACCCTGGGTGGGAGCGGCCCTCACTGCAGACTCAGTAGAGGCCCCTCCCGACTGACCACACGGCTGCGTTTCCAGAGGCTTCCCTGGGACGTGGCCTCACATCTGGAAACTGGAAAGGAATCTTTAGTTTCCCACCCCGCACCCCCACAGGAGCATCCAGGAGGGAGTCCTTAGGAGCCTTTTGGGTGACCCGGAAGGAGTGAACACAGACATTGTGGTTTGGGGGAGCCCCTCACAGTCAGAAGCCTTGGTTCCAGGATTGTGTGTCTGTGGGTGATCCAGAGCGGTCTGAGTGTGACCTTCCAACAGCCAGGCGCCCCAGTGGCTTCCTAAACACAGGGAGGTCATCCACTCTGCCACTTTGGACCAGGAGGCCAGTGCAGCAGGGCCCAGGCTGATTCCTCAGGCTCTTGGGTCTGGACTGTGGGTTCCAAGCCCTCATCTGTGACCTGCAGTAAGCAACACATTTCAGGTCCCAGCTTCATTCATACCCACTGTGTGTAACTGAAACGAAAGTTGAGTGAAATAGCTCTTTTCTCTGTTTCATGCCGTGGTCTGATATTTTCTATTCTAGTTTATTTGATTTTTTTTTTAATTGCATTCTGTGACCCCTGAATTGATGTCACGATCCGCTAATGGGTCATACCCAGAGTTTGAAAAAACAGGCCTGGAAAATGAATCTGCTTTCTAGTCATTCAACAAACATGAATTGAGGCCCTGACAGTGTCTCTGTTTTTGAATTACTCAGGTGACACATGGATTTGTTCTCATTGTGAAAAATGCAAATAACCCAGAGGTATATAGGGTAGAAGTGCCCCCAGTAACCCCAGTTAACACTTTGAATGTGGTTTGCTGTTCACTTATGCATATGCGTCTCACACAAACAAACACAGAGCTTCCTCTTACCCTGATCTGGACCACGCCTCCTGTTCTTCTTCTCAGCTCCCCTTTCCCTTCCTGGGGTCATGTGGGGGTCATGGAGGGGGTGCTCCAGGGCAAGGTGTTGGGTGATTCCTGGCTTTGCCACGTATTGAATGGGTTATTTATCTCTGTACCTCAGTGTCTCCATCTGTACAATGAAGCTAATAACAGTTCCAGCCTCACTGGATTATGGTGAAGCTTTATTGAGTCCACGCAACCCCATGAATCTGAGAACAGTGTTTGTCCCAATAAATGCCAGCTGGCCCTGACACCGTTATTGTCACCACTGCCTTTCCGTGGCCATCTGTGTTTGTACCTCATGCTTTAATAGTCACATGTGGCTGTGCGTGGATGTCTCCCCTGCCCCCCAACATGTGGTTCAGCAGGCAGGACCAGGTAGAGCCCTGCAGACTGGCCACTGTTCCCATGGGAGAGGCACCTGGGCTCTCGGGCCCACCAGGTATTTCCCAGGGCCCACTATTTCGAAGTCCTGTGCTTAATACACCTGCCTGCAAGGTAACAGCCCAGGGGTGGGACCCACGTGGTACCCAAAGGGACAAGTGGGAGCTCGTGCCAGGTCTTGGCGGGAAGCAGGGCCTCCCATGGAAGAGCTGGCAGGTGTGCTGAGGACAATGAGGGAAGGAGCGTCTTTGGGGGACTTGTTCCTGCGAGGAGGGGCTGATGGGAACCATGTGAGTCAGTTTCAGGATGGGGAACAGGTAGCCTGAGCATGAAGTCCAGAGGTGAGAGTGTCTTCACTTGGCCAGAGGTGGAGGGCTTTGTGGAGGTGAAGCTTCATAGCCGAGGGGACTTGGAGCTCAGGTAGGTGGGGAGGGGGGCGATCCTGGCGGCGGGAGCACACCAGTGGCTGCAGCAGATGGAGCCTGTGTCCTGTGGCCGAGAGGGAGGATTTGGTTCAGAAAGGCTGTGATGGGAGAGGCTAGCTTTTGCCCGGCCTCTTCATGGGCCTCCCTGCCTCCATCCTGCTCCCTCCAGTGTGGGCCCCACTACAGGGTGACCTTTCTCCACCACGGCAGTGTCTCCCTGGGGTTCCTGTTGCCTCTGAATAAAGGTCTGCTCAGGAGCCCTTCCCAGGTGGGGGCCTCTCCCGTCCTTTGCCTGCTCTGCCCCTACTCAAGCCCCTTCCCCTCCTGCTGCAGCAGACTCCTGCCCCCTGGAGTCAGCCCTGACGTTGCTGCCTCTATGCTGCGTTAGCCCCAGCTGTTCCTTCCACCTGGGCTGCCCTGCACCTTTCTCCCTGCCTCCCGGGACCAAAACAGACGTCCTGTCTCCTGCTCTGACCTCCGCGGCAGAACTGAGTCATCCCCCTTTGTCTACGGCTGAAGCATAGCGTTCATCACGGAATTAGCAGTAATTCTGTCGGTGTCTGTCCTCCCCAGGAGGCTGGGGCATTGAGGCCCAGGGCTTGGCCACCTCCTCTCTGCGGCCCCATCAGCTCCACGGGCAAGGTGGGGGAGCACAGAGCATTCAGAAGCCTTCCCAGCAGAAGGGGTGGGTGAGAAGGTGAGCTGGGGGGGCACAGTGTTGTTTTGGGGGTCCTATTGGGATCTTGGGGACTCTCAGGGTGCTGGTCAGAGGATTCTGTTTGTCAGACCATAGAGGAGATAAGTGAGGGGCCCTGCTGCTCCCCGGGAGGGGGGACAGGGCGGGTGGGAAGAACTGGCTCGTCCTGTTTCCCTGGGGACTGAGGCAGAGCGTGCCCTGTGCCTGGGTGGGTCACCGGGATCCGAGACTGGAATGTGACACGAGGGTGGGTGCCAGCGGCCGGAGGCGCAGACGGGCTCGGCTGCCAGCGGAGAGCTTTTGCTCTGCTGGTTCTCGAATCCCTGTGAAGAGTGTGTGTGTGTGTGTGTGTGTGTTTGTGTGTGGTGGGGGCGGGGGAGGGGGAAGGAAAGCAACGTGGGAAAGGGCACTTGGTCAGGAGGGACAGGAGGATGGGCCAGGAGCACCAGGGCTCCCGTGGGACCAGCCGATCACCACTCACCCAGCAGACACCCCCCTCCCCACCAAATCCCCCCCCCCCCCCCCGTCTTGGCCCTGGGCTTGTAGGGCTCAGAGCTGAGAGGCTCCAGGCCGGTGGACAGCAGTCATCCAGTTTCCATGTGCTGACTGAGCTCAGGAAGGGGGTCCAGGGAGCCGGGAGGGGAACAGATGCAGTGGGGCGGGGCAGGGCAGGGGTGGGGGGAGGCGGGGGGTCAGTGGGGGGCTGAGGCCGGGATGGGCCCCAGACAGGGGTCCCACGTGAGGTGTACAGACTCTGTCATACTTGGTCCCCTCCCTGGAGACCATGCCTCTGTCTGGTCTGGTCTGGTCGGGGCAGCACGGCTGAGCAGTGGCACAGCCCTGGGTTTGGAGTCAGGACAGGGTTTGAGTTCCAGCTGCTACTGCAGGAAAGTCATCCCCGCCCCCCAGCACATTTCCCCTCCTGTCAGAACTCTGTATGCAGCGTGTTCTGTCTGGAAAGCCCAGGGTCATGTCCAGGCGCATCCGTCCTGCCGGGGGGCTCCATCTCCCCACCTTCACACGGGCGCAGTCCCTGGCCCCAGGAGCCTGCTGTGCGGGGACTCAAGTCGTTGTTCCTCCCGCTGAAGGACTTTGTGGGAAGAGGTCGCTGTGACCGCTCCAGTCCTG